TCTCTCCCTCAGGGGCTATTGACTTCCCTTTCTGATTTTTAATAAAACTCTTGTCTGTTAGCATCTGATAGATGATCTTCCCTTTCCATCTTTTTTTTTTTCCTTTTTTTTCCTTTTCTTCTTTTTCTTTTTCTTCTTTCTTTTCTCATTTTTACGTTTCTAACGAAAAAAAAAACTTCTTAGCACATTTTAATATTTCTTTTTACTTTCTTCTTCTTATTTTTCTTGTACTTTTTTTTCCTTCCTTTTCCCGGGTCAAAATCTTGAATTAACTTGATGCTAAATTTTTTTTTTTTTTCTGCAATGGATTCTGGAGTTTTTCTCTTCCTTTCTTTTTTTTTTTTTTTCTAAAAGTCAAAGAAATAAAAAAAAGGAAAAAAAAAAAGAAGGAAAAATTTTCTCAGAGCTTTATTTTTCTTGCCAGATATTAAACTTTTTTTTTTTTCTTCCCTTTTTTCCTTTTTTTTTTTTTTTGTAGAAAATTCATCTTTTTTTCCTTTCTTTTCTTCTGCTTTTTTTTTTATGTTAAACCTGTCGTCTTCTCGTCAAAAAAAAAAAAAAAAAAATGATTTTCCTTACCTGATATCCATTATAACGTTACGTTAATCGTTAACTTATGATAAAAAAAAATATGATGGATTGACGTCATCATTGTCGTGTCACTAGAATAATATCGATTATTGTTTATAATGATCATTTTTTTTTTTTAAATTTCATATTCAATTTATTATTATTTCGTCAAATATCATACAAATAATAATAATAATAATAATAATTTTATTGGGGAAAGGGAAGGGAAGGGACGGGAGGAGGGTAAAAAAACCGCGAAAAAAAGTTTTATATCGTGTTTTTTTTTATTTTTTATTTGACGACCTTTACCTGTGGGCAATAAATATTGCATTTTTACCATAATAATAATAATAATAATAATAAACAAAATAAAAAATTTTCAATTCTCATTTTGTCTCCCCACTCCCCGATTTTTTCTCTTGTGTGTGTATGTGTGTCGTCTACCATTTTTAACCCTCAAACCTCTTTTTTGCCTCATCGTTTCCTTTCCTCTCTTTTCCCCCACTCCCTCCCTTCCTACCCCCACAAAAAAAAAATACATCCATGGATTTATTTTTATTTTTATTTTCGGTTCGAAAAATATTCATTGAAAATATTTTAATATTAAAAGTTGTTTGGTTTCCTCTCGGTTTGTCAAACGTCAGCGTCGGTCATGTGTGTGTGTGTGTGTGTGTGTGTACGTGTGCATTTATATATGCGTTTTCAATTCTCTTTGTATTTTTTTTTATTTTAAAAACATGTCCGCTCGTCCTTGAAAGTAAAAAATTAAAAAAAAAAAACTTTTATTTATATCAAACGATTTTTTTTCATTATTTAAATATTTTCCCTCTCTCTCTCTCGTTTTAATAAAAAAAAAAAAAAAAAAAGAATCGAAAATTAATTTTTCCCGCCCGCTACTTTGCACTCATTCGAATTCAAAACGTTCCATTTTTAAAATAGATAAATTACAATTCATGCGCATGCGCGAATTCGAAACATTCGACAAGTGTCTGTGAGAATTAGATGTATGAAATTAATTTTTTTTTTTGTGTTAAATTTTTTTTTTTTTAAAAAAGTAAATAGTTAATAGATTTTATAATTTGTTGTCGTTGACGAGAATGAAGTTTATTTTTTCTAAATTAATTAATTATTATATTTAAATAATTATAAATTGAATTAAATTCAAAAAAACGTCAACGGTTTTAACCCATTCGAAAAACGATAGCGTGGTTGAAGAGGCAATTTTTTTTTAAAAAGATTCTCACGATCGTTTGATTGTAATGGTCATGTAAGTCATTTTAAAATTTTTTTACTTGTTGCAAAAAATGAATTTTTCAATTTGCAAAGTGATGCAATTAAGTCTTTGAGATTAAATTAAAATTTTTTTAGACTTTATGCTAATATTAGAACGTTTTGACTTCTTTTTTAGATAATCGTGAGTTGTTTAACATAAAAAATTTCATTAATTATTAATTATAAATGATAATAATAGTAATAATGAGATAATGCATGGTCTATAATGATGAGTGCGTCATGGATTATTTCAATGAGGCTCATGGTTGCTTTGCAAACACTTCATGCTGATGAATTTTCACTTTATTTCCTGGTTCGTATTATTTTATAACAGTTTTTTAATCTAATTATATTCTTGTATCAATATTTGGGGGAAAAAAATCAAAATCTTTTACCTGTAATTAATGTCATTTGGCACATGGTTAATGTATCACATGTGACAATTTAGGTTTTTGGTATAAAATTGTAACTTTTTATGCACAGTATACTTTTTAAACATTGTTTTATGCAAATAAACATTGTGTACATACTTTATGATATAAAATCTCAACAAGGAAACTGAAAACAAGATGGAGGACAGAGAAACAAGGATTACTTTTGTATCAGCATGGTTCAACTCAGATAGCACATGTGATTTACAAGCTTTCTGATTCTTGCTACTGCTTAAGAGATACATTTTATATCACCTGAGCTCAGTTTAGGAAATACATTTCTTCAGAATTAACTAAAATCAAGAAAACTAACAGAGAAACAAAGATTTGATGCTACTATTTTTAAACACAAAAATTTGATTCAGATTTATTTTTAAAATGAGTTGAAAGTATAAGTACAATCAACAAGGGGACAATTTTGCTAAGAAGATGAAGACAACTTTTAGAAATTTAAAAAAAAAAGGAATCACCTTATTAAACAACATACAACATTTCTTGGAGAAGTTGTTGAAGAGGAACCTGGAATGAATGCTTAAATTATACAACATTACTATACAACATACAACATTTCTTAGAGAAGTTATTGAACAGGAACCTGGAATGAATGCTTAAACTATACAACATTATTATACAACATTTCTTGGAGAAGTTGTTGAAGAGGAACCTGGAATGAATGCTTAAACTATACAACATTATTATACAACATACAACATTTCTTGGAGAAGTTGTTGAAGAGGAACCTGGAATGAATGCTTAAACTATACAACATTATTCTGCAACATACAACATTTCTTGGAGAAGTTGTTGAAGAGGAACCTGGAATGAATGCTTAAACTATACAACATTACTATACAACATACAACATTTCTTAGGGATGTTGTTGAAGAGGAACCTGAAATGAATGGTTATAAAATAATGATAATGATAACATTGTAATTCGAGTAGATGAATATGATGACTTATAGTAATCACACATTATTAATCCCTTTTTTTAATTCGATAATAATCGTTTATCATAATAAATCGTTTTAAGAATGATTTTCGGTTTGTAATCGACCAAACAACACAAAACCCCGGTCGTCATAAAAAAAAAACAAAACAAAACGAAAAAAAAAATTATTGTCGCTCGAATTTTTAAAATGAAACGTTCGCATTGTTCGATTGTCAGTTTTTTTTTAAATTCTATAGAATAAAGATGACGTAAAAAGTGTTATAATACGAAGGCCCCCGATTTGATATTTGATGAACGATCTTAAACTAACGCCCACAAGTCCAAATAAAGATGTTTTTTTTTTATAAAGGGATGATCCATTATTTTATACACCAAGGGTTGATATCGGTTTGTTCCCTTTTATTATTTTTACACCGTATTATTATTATTATCGTTAGTGTTAGTGTTAGTAGTAGTAGTAGTAGTAATTTTTTTTTTAAATATGAAAATCAACGCATAACGAAATTGATTCATTTTTTTTTTCTCATTGCACTTGCGACATACGTCATAGAGAAAAAAAACACAAAAAATTTTCTTTCTCTCTCTCTCTCTCTCTCTCTCTCTCTGTGTGTTGACGATGATTGATTGTTTTTAAACTATTCGAAAAAATTTTTTCCCCAAAAACGATTTGTTAAATAATAATAATAATAATGATTGTTTATAGAAAAAAAAAAAAAAAAATTTAAATTTAATTTTTCAGTGCGAGTAAATGACGTCATCATCGATTTAAACCATGTTTTGTTTTATTCTCTATGCTTTTTTATTATTAATGTTTGTTACGTCATCAAAAAATAATCCACCACCCCCTCTTCCTCCACATCCTCGTGAATCGAAAACAAGAAAATAAATAAGTCGTAAAAACTTCAAAGATAAATTATTAAACCGAAATAAGATTTATGAAATCGACATTATGAATATCACACACACACGTCGTCATATAAATCCATATAATTTTTTTTACTGATAAAACACAAAATGGAGTGAAAGGAACAAAAAAAAAAAAAAAAAGGAAAATTTTTGGGAGCAGGTGTAAAATTCTGGATAACAAAGGAAGAATCACGGGGAGAGTACACAGGAAACAAAAAAAAAAAGGAGAAAAAAGAATGAAAATTTTAACACCTGAAACGGATTTGAAAAACTAAATTTTATCTCGGTTTTTAATACAATTCATTAGATAATTTTACCCGAAACGGATTAAAATTATCATTATTATCATCATTATCATTATCATTTGAATATTTTACTTACGGGAAGGAACAAAAGAAAAAGAAAAAAAGGAGAAGAAGAAGAGGAAGAAGAAATTTAAAATAATAAAACTGAAAAAAAAAATTTTTTTTTTTTTGAAATGAATATAAAAAGAAGAACAAAAAGGAAAAGAAAAAATTATTATTATTATTATTATTTTAAATATATATATATTTATTTATTTAATAGGGGAGCCGGGGGTAGGGAGAGAGAGATAGAGAGAGAGTAATTAATATTACAATTAATTATAACAGTTTATATATATATATAAAACGTAATCAACTGTTGTGCTGATAACACGCACATACACACACTTTCACAAAACGTTTTATTGTTTTTGTTTTTGTTTTGTTTTTTATCATCGTCCACTTTTTTTTTGTTTTGTTTATCATATGGAGAAAAAGCAATCATTGACAAATGTTTATCAAACGGATTTAAAATATTTTTTTTTTTCGTTGATTGTCAATGTGTGATAGTTGAGGCGTTTCGGACTACTGGTCCACCATTTGCGTGTCTTCTCCGCAGAAATACGATGTTTGCATTGAATATAGTCTGTCAATGGGATTGAGGCCCAAAGGCGGTGGTCCTTGATTGATAAATATTTGGTGAGCGGTTGCGGCTGGTTCCAAAGTCGAATCGGAGTAAGGGAATCCCAGAAATCCAGGGTTCATTTTCTCGTGTCCTCCGTCTGCAATAAATTTTCTCTCTCTCTGGTAAGGTTGGCCTGCGTGAAAAACTTTCTCAAGGCAACGAAAAAAAAAAAAAAAAAAAAAAAAAAAAACACCGCAAGAGTAAATTGTGTGAGTTTTTCCTTTCTCCTTTTTTCTTTTTCTTTTTTTCCTCCCCTCCCTTTCCTTCCCTCCTTCTCGCCCTCCCCCGTTTCTCTTTCTTTTCTTCACGTTTAAAAAAAAAAAAAAAAAAAAATCCCTTTCACATCTCCTCCCATTCACATCTTTCCACCCCCCCTCCCCCCACGGAGTTTTATACTCCCACCAGTATTTACTCTTCAACCTTTCCGCCCAAATCTCTCCCCTCCCCTCCCCTTCCCCTCCTTCACCACCCATTTTTCTTCTATTTTCCTTTTTCGACTTTAAAAAAAAAAAAAAAAAAAAAAAAAAAGGGAAAAGAAAAAAAAAATTCTTTTTTTTTTTTTTTTTTTTTTTTTCAATTTTAGTTTCACGTTTTCAATTTTTTCCTTTTTTGTCGTCGTTTTTCTTGCCAGAATATATATATTTTTTTCCCCTCCTCCTCCTCCTCCTTCTCCTCCCCATACCTGGAAAATTTTCCTTTTTTTTTTTTCCTTTTTTAAATTATTTATTCCGCGCTTGGTTTTTTTTTGGCATTTACCACGAACGAAATTTTAAAAAAAAAAAAACAATTTTCCCGTACGTAGTTGATTTAAACGAGGGGTTTAGGTAAAAAAAAAAAAAAAATTCTAATGACACGATCGTTACCTTTCCTTAAAACTTATCGCAGTAATTAAATAAGAAAAAAACGGAAATTTTTAATTAGGAAAATAATAAAATTTAAGTTATTTTCTTACCTCTCATGAATTCTCTTGAAAGATGGTGGTGGTGATGATGATGATGATGATGATGATTTTCCGTATGATGACCAGACGATATTTTAATAAATGACGAATCGTCATTGTCTAACAATTCTTCTTTTATCGGTAAATATTGCAGGTGATCGTCCGAACTTGAATTTCCTTGTAGGTAATTTTCATTTGTCGGTAATGTTGTGTTGGTATCACTGTCATCGTTTAAAAAATTCCCATTGGGACCTGAATTAATTAATTAATAGAACATTTTAATTAATTAACTTGAAATCGAAAAGGAAAGGAAAGGAAAAGAAAGAAAAAAAAAAAAATTTTCTCGTTCGATTATTATTATTATTATTATTTTGTGCTTTCACCCGATGAAATCGAAACATTTTAATAAAAGAAAATTTTTTTAAAAATAAAATGGGAGGGGGGAGGAGGGTGAGGATTGTAAAATAAGAAAACGACGAGATAAAATTTTTGTTTTTCTCTTTTTTTTGAAACATTTGAAACTTTTTGAACATCCCTCAAAGTCAAAGATGTCATCCACACGGTTTAAACTTTGGCTGGTTTTTAGATCTCGGATGTTGTAGGTTGCCACGGGAAACCACTGTTCTGCTTAGTGATCTCTTCTTATTCGACAAAATTTCATCTTCCAGTTTCCTTTTCTCTCCTTCTCTCTTTTTTTTTTTCTTTCTTTCTATCTTTGTTTCTCTCTGTTCTATTCATCCCCGTTTTTGTAGCTTATATATATATATATATATATATATTCTTCCCGCCGAAAAATGCCTCCCACTATCTTTTTCTCTATCTCTCTCTCTCTCTCTCTCTCTCTCTCGCTCTCTTACTCTTTCTTACTCTTTCTTTCTTCTCTAATACTTTTTCTCATTGAAAACCTACCCAACAATCTTTATTTGAAATTTTCTTCGACCCTTTTACGAGTTTCATCATCCCGAAGATATTTTAGAAGGGGAGTGGAGGGAGGGGTGAGGGGAGGGAGGAAAGGAAGGCTCACATGCCTTAAATAATGTTTCGGATCAAATTATTTTTATTTTTTAAACTTTTTTTTATGTTTTCCTTCCCCCCTCTCTCTTTTGTTTTTTTTATTTGTTTAAATTTTATATAAATTTTTTTTTTTTCTTTTCTCAGGAGGAATTCGAGAAATCAAAAAAAATAACGCACGCACACGCACGCACGCACCGAGTTTACCGAGAGAGTTTGGTACTATTCAGCATTAATTAAAAAAAGGTATTTATTTATTTTTTTATTTTTTGTAATTTTTACGCGGAAAAAATAAAAATGACGACGACGACGACGACGACGATGAAAATAACAACCTTTTCCTACTACGTTTAAACACACGGGAAAAGGGCTAAAGGAAGAGGAAAGAGTAGAAAAAAAAAAAAGGTTGAAATACATAAAAAAAAAGGAAAAAGGATTTCAAATATAAATTTAAATATAATCGCCGGAAGGCGACGACGAGATTGTTTTTTTCCTTTTTTTTTTTTTTTTTTATATTCGACGAAAAAAAAAATAAAATTAAAAAAAAATCAAACCGGATATTAGAGAGAAAGAAAGAGGAAGAGAGAGAGAGAGAGAGGGGGGAAGGGAGGAAGGAAGGGAGGGAAAAAAGGATGAGGCTTCCTACGAAAATTTTAACCAAAGAATGAAGAAAAGGTTGCGTTCATGGTTGCCATTGGAAAAAAAAAAAAAAAAAAAAAAAGGAATGAGGATATATATAAAAGCGTATCGGATTAATATTGTCATTCAATCTTTGTTGGTGTTGCTGTTGCTGTTGGGTAGTTTTAACGTCTCCGTGTCGGAGATTTTTGACTTTGGGGAGACTTTATATTTTTCTTTCCTGCTGGTTTTCATTGTCTGATTTAATCCTCCTCTCTTGCCCCGCTCCCCCATCTACCATGTATTTTTACTCCTCTTTTTCCTCCCCTCCCTCCCTCCCTCATCCTCATCAAAGTTTTTTTCATATATGTTTCGTTGATCCAGGATATTCACATTTTACGTTCTTATGACACGTTTTTTTTTTTAAATAAATAAATAAAAAAACGTCGAATAATAATAATAATAATAATGAAATATTAATTTCCGGGTCGTAGAATTCTATTTAGCATCGATGATGATGATGATGATGATGATGATGATAGTAATAATAATGATATAACTTACTGCTGTCTTCCTCTTTGAGTTTAGGTTTTCTGTCGTCTCCGCTGTCGCTATCTTTGCTTTTATTTTCCTGCCTCGCTTTTTTCTGTATTTTTTTCATTTTAGCTCTTTGATTTTGAAACCAAACCTGTGGGAACATAAATGAAAAAAAAAAAAAAAAATTTTTTTTTAATTAATATAAAAATGGGGGTAAATTAAGAGAGCGTGGCGGTTTTTTTTTTTTTTTTTTACTCTTTTAATTAACGCGTTTACCATACGTCCGCATGATTAAAATTTAATAATAATTATTATTATTATTAAAAGGGGTAGAATCAGAAAGAGATCGATGACGTAAGAATTATTATCATCATCGTTATGATTTTTTTCGTCATGAAAATAATAATAATAATAATAATAATAATAATAATAAGAAAAAAAATGAAAGAATCACTTACGAACGCACCCGAAAATAACGCCTGCGTAACTTTTTTTTTTTTTATTTTCACGTAAAAACTGGGTAGTAGAAGCGCGGGGGGGGAAAAAATCGGAGAAGTAAAAAAGGAGGAAAAAGGGGAGGAAAAACTCGAAATCAATAAAGGGAAATAACGGAAACGGAACAAAGAAAGAAAAAAAGAAAAAAAAAAAAAGAAATCCTACCTGAACAATCCTAGCGCTCAATCCTGTTTCTTTTGCAAGACCTTCTCTCACTTTGCATCCGGGTTTGGGGCAAAGTCTGAAATATTCTTTGAACGCCTCCCTTTGCTGTGTCGTCAGCATTGTGTGCTGTCGTTTCGGACCCTGAGGGACAATAACAAAAATAAAAAAAAAAAAAAAAGGAACCGACGACGACGACGACGACGACGACAATGACAACGATGGTGTCAAATCTTGCGAGATTTTTTTTTTTTTTGAAATTATTTTTATTGATAAAAAAAAATTATTATTATCATTATCATTATTATTATTATTATTATTATTTTGTATTTATTACAAGGAGCAAGCGTAACTTTTTTAGGCGCGTTCGTCGTGAAAGACAATTTCCAAATTGTCCAAATGGGGGGAGGGGGGAAAGAGCGAGGGGAAAAGTAAAATAATTTGTACCTACTTGTACTATCCGCACGCTGAGTCCCGTGTCCTTGGCCAAGGCTTCCCGTACCTTTCTGCAAGGTTTCGGACTGACTTCGAACGATGCCTTAAACGCTTTCCTCTGTTGAGTCGTGAGTATCGTTCTCGGCCTTTTGGGTCCTCGTCTTCCATCTTGATTTCTAGACGACGGTAGTAAATCATCACAGGTGAAATCTCCTTTTGTATAAAAGGAGAGAGAGAGAAAAAAAAAAACAAAAATTTTTGTATCATTTATTATTTATCCGTTTGTTTTTAATTTTATTATTTTTCTCTTTTTTTTTTTTTTTTTAACCCCATTTTTTTTTGATATAAGGGGAGGGGGGTTGGTTGGTTGAAGTGAATGACTGCGAACGTACGAACGAACGAACGAACGAACGAACGGTTTCCTTTTCGGAAACAAGCGGTGTGGTGTATGAATGGGTGAAACGTTCGGAAGAAGAATGATGGGAGGGGTGAGGAGGAGGGGGGGAAAGGGGGAGGGAAAAAAGCAATTTTCATACCATAAAAATGTTTTTTAATATACGAGGGTTTTTCAATAAATATTTTTGATTGCCGCCGTATAGGATGTAATGTCGTCTGACGTGGATGAGGAGTGAGAGAGGATCGTGAAACGTTCCAGAAATTTTCTCTTTTCATACGGAAAATTATTATTATTATTATTATTATTATTATTATTATTAATATTCCCTTTTTTTTTTTTTGTTATCGCATTGTTTTTTTTTTTTTTCGGGTCAAAAATTAAGAGTGTAAATCATGGAGATATATATATATATATATCTCGGTTATTTATAACGTTTTTTTTATTTTTCGCTGCATCCCTCCCTCCCTCCCTCCCCCACTCCCCGAAAAAAAAAATTTTGACTTTGTAATTTTTATGAAATTTTTAATCTTTTTTTTTTTTTTTGTTTTTCTCTCTCCTCCCCTCCGTGTGAATAGGTGTGCGTGAAAATGTGTCGTTTTCCCACCGTACGAAAAGAATATAACGAGTATAGAAACGTAACAATAATAATAATAATAATAATGATAGTGATAATGATAATAATAAAACAATGAAAACAAGAGTTAATGTGGTCAACCAGAAATTATAATAACTGTCAAAAGTTTTATTTTTCCCACAGATTAATAAACCCGAGGGGTAGTAAAAACTCTTTTTTAATAACAATCCATTAATTAGCGGACGATCTTTTTCAAATAATAATAATAATAATAATGATAATAATAATCATTTGAAAAATTTTATTATTATTATTATTGTTATTATTATCATTAATTTTTCAATCGATAAAAGAAAAAAAAATTTTTTTTTTTTTTTGTATAAATTATTACCGATGGTAGTAGGAAAAGTCTTAAAATTATTTTTAAAAAAATTAATTTTTTTTTTTTTTTTTAATGTTGGCAGCAACACTTTTTTAAATTTCTAAGGGGAGAAGGGAGGGGAAGGGAAAATTCATTTTGAGGAAGGATTTGTTTGAGTCGAGTTTGAATATGAAAAAATATTATTTGTTGTTGATTCGTAAAAATATCGTTTAATATAGTCACAAAAGACGGTCGGGTACGATCGTTATAATAATAATAATAATAATAATAATAATAATAATAAAATTACAGCTTCGGCTGTAAAAAAAAAAAAAAAAGGAAGAAAGAAAGAAGGAAAAGAGAGAGAGAGAGAGAGTGAGAGAGAGAGAGAGAGAAAAATCAGTTGAAAAGTTATTAAGCAGACGACGCCAAAAGAGAAAATCCTTTTTTCATTGAAAAAAAATATTATTATACATGTTTGGATTTTAGCTAATAGCCGAGGGTGATAATCTTTCGTTTATTAAGAAATCAAATTGAGATTAAACGAAAAAGTGGGAGGAGAGATGTGTGTGTGCGTGTGCGTGTGCGTGTGTGTGTGGCAGACTCCACAGCATCCCATTTTCTCCTCCTCCTTCTTCATTTCCCCCCTCCCCATTTTTCTTCTCTTTTTATTCTTTTCTCATATCGTGGGCGCGTCTTTTGAGTCAGTCAGTTCCGGTTAAAATTCCAATATAAGAAAGAAATCGCGTGGTATTCGATTCAACTTTTTTTTCTCCCTCCCTCCCTCCTTCCTTCCTTCCCCTCCCCACCGCTTTCTTTTTCTTCTATTATTTTCCATCTTTGTCCCTCGGGGTCTTTTTCTCTCTCTCTCTCTTCCCCGGAAATTCAATAAAATCATAAGTTTCACCGCAAATTTTGTAAATAAAAAAAAAAAAAAATAAAATAAAATAAAATAAACGGAATAACTTTGCCGAAGGAAGAGGAGGGAGAGGGAGGGAGGGAGTTTCGGATAATATTTTTGTCTCCCCAACTTCATTCTTTTTTCATTCGGGGGGGTGGGGGAATTCACTCACGTTTAGCTTATAGCGAAGTTTTATTAATTCGAAAAAAAAATTTATATATATATTTAAAAAAAAATATATTAATTTCCCCCCCCCCCCGAAAAGTATTTTCCAGTCGTAATTTTTATAGCTCTCATAAGCTTTGGGCGCCATTTTATCGCCACGAAAAAAAAAAAAAAAAAAAAAATTGTGAGCTTTTGTGTATGCGTGTGTGTATACGTGTGTGTGTGTGCTTGTGCGTGCGTGCGTGTGCGTGTGAGTTCGTTTGTATAAAGTCTTAATGTTTAGAGTCGAATTTTTTAAATAATTATTAGTCCTGATCGTACCTGAATTTTTTGTTATCGTTTTTTTAAGGGAAGAAACAAACATATTATGGAAAAATTATTTGTTATTTGATGTAGGTACATGCCTGTTGTTTACCTGTCCGAGGTCAGTTTTAAAAAAAAGTACGATTCGGAGGGGTATGGTGTGTGGTATCGAGGTGTGGTTTACATCTTTTCCATGCTTACTAATAAAGTACCTTGGGCATACCCCTGAAGCATTTCAACTTCCTTTTCATAATCCGGCCTGCAAAACAATTGTCCTTGTTTAATGACGAATTGATCTCCTCTCTGGAGTCGAACGCCGCAAACGACGCAAATGAAACACCTCAAATGAAAAACGCTGTCCAATGCTTTCATAACTAATTCGTCAGCGCTGATCCTTTCGCTGCATCCCAAACATTTTTTAGCGTAAAGCCTGGAATGGAAAAAAAAGGAAAATGTGTAGTTTTCTTACATCCCGGCCCCTCCCATCTCTCTCTCCCCCCACTCTCTCTCTCTCTCTCTGTTTCACCCGCGGATAATATTTTATTATTCTGGAGGAAAAAAAAAAAAAAAAAAAAAATTTTTTTTTTTTTAATTCAAGTTCATGACTCTCGATTCTAAAGTGTTTGTTCTTTCTTTACCCTCTACCCTCTGCCCCCCCCTCTCTCTCTCTCTCTCTCGTCAAATAATTTTTTCTTTTACGTTTTTTTTTTTTTCCCCCTTCCCGCTCTCTATCGTACACGCCGAGTTTTTCCCCATTTTAAAAATCGGGGGGATGTGGGAGGGGGGAGCAATTTTTCCTCTCGTATAACCTTTTGTTTAACCCCCCTCCCCTCCCGCACACTTGTTTCCTTTTTTTTTTTCATTTTCTCTTAAATATTTTCCCTCTCTCTTTTTTTTTTTTTTTTTTTTTTGGGAAAAAGGACGACGACGGTAGGGAAAAAGAAAATGGAGAGGAAAAAAGAAAAAAAGGTCAATTGAAATTAAATTTACGAAGGTGAAAATTTCTTGCTTTTTTTTTTCTCTCTCTCTCTCTCTCTCTTGAATTTATTTATTTTATTTTTTTTGTCGTCTGCTTTCTTTTTTCACAAAATTTTCTTTCTTTCGTATTATTATTATTATTATTAAATCTCGGAAAATAATTAAAAAGAAGAAGGAAAAAAATTTGAAATTCTAAACGTTTATAAAGGCTC